TAGATGTGCAGCATTTTTTTAGAAGGAATTCCCTCCTATGCATGTCAAGAAGGGAAAGTCTTCTAAGATAACACTTGCTGTTTTTCTAAATGTTTGCATTAGACAAATGTTAATTTCTTTGTTTTTAAATCTGCCAGCTAATCAGAAACACATTTTAATTGATCAAAAGTATTGTAATCAGTTGCCTGATCTAATGAACAATTGCAGCACTAATAATAAGGCTATCACAGATCCAATCCATCTTAACCCTTTGTAGATTAAAACACACACAGTAACAATCAGTTTGGAATCACATATCTGTACTGCAAGAAAGTAGTATGAATAAAACAGTACAAGTAGCAAACTTGGTGGAAGGTATTATGCACAACACCATTTGCAAATAAAAAAATTCAGGCCTTCATAGAAAACATTTATAAACTGTTAAAAACATCAAAAAACAACAAACATCTGAAGTGAATTTAAACACAGATGTAACTGTTCAATCATGTGCCTTGATGGGCCCAACAAAACACAAAAGTTTTTGGTAGGAGTCTACAGGAGTACAGTTATGGCACCTTCCTATGTCAGTAGGGGAATTCCAAAGTCAAGTTCTGTCACACTAAAGGAATGACTCTTTACACATACAGAATGGGCACTGTGTGGCACTTGTATAAGCACATCATTGCTGTGATTTGCAATCATTCATCAACCACAGAAATGACACCTAGTCTCAGCAGCTTCAGGCCTTTCAGTTCTGAGGCTTTCTCTCTTAACATCTCAGGATGTTGGCTTTGTTTCTATACCCTGTCAACTCCGAACCCAGGTCTACTAGGAACAAGCATGTTTTAGGATGCTCTCATCTTCATGCATCTTGCATATTCATTTAGGAAGGTGAGTCATAATGCGGGTGTTGGGAAGAGCTCCAGGGGAGAGGACAGGAAAGAGAAGAAGTCCTTCTGTGCGATCAAAAGTCCATTCCACTTACACACAGACAACACGGAATTACACCCAATATCATCATAAACTCAGTGAGAGCAATAATACTGCTTGTTTATGTAGTGAGCCTTGCTTTAAATGCATATTTAACACAGAGGTGTAATCACCCGAAAAGGCAGGATGCATAGCATGCTGTTCCTAGAAGTGTATTCTTACTACTGTAGATCAGAAGAGCCCACTGAAAAACCCTAATAGCACTTACCTTTGAATTTGCATGTGCATTGAGGATGCAGAACCACAGCTGTCAGCTCTGTTGCATCTCAGCTACAATATTTGAGAACTTGAACTTTGAAAAGTGAAAAATCCTAAATCCTCAGACCAATAAATGTGCTTCTGCATTTGTATCAGTTTCATGTGTGCGGGTTTTTGTTACCAGATTTTCTTTTTCAGAGACCCGAGTTGACTCAGTTCTGTAGAGATGGTTTGGTGAGTCCTTTACTTCTTTACTAAAGAAGCCTGGGGCTCTTCTCATCATTAGCTAATAGATTTTCAAATTTACACATGGACCCATGAGGCCATGTACCATTTTTCCTAGCTGAGAGCTGCATTTTTTAGGACTTTGAGAAAATCTGATGTGGTACAGAGAAACACTTCAGAGTTGGAAATGGCCTCAGAGATTATATTATTGCTTATGTCCAGTATAGAATCTTATTAGAAAACACATCCCACTTACTAAGCATTCTTGCTATTGTGTATGTTTAATCACATCTGGGATTGGTGCTGAACTAAATTTGAGGCAAGAAAGGCTCCTTTGATTAAGGATTCAGCAACCTTGACCTTCAGTCAAAATGAAAGTCTACCTAGAAAAACACTGCTAGGAGACTAGATAAACCATTTCTTCTTTTATCCATCTTATCATCATCATCATCATCATCATCATCATCATCATCATCAAATCTATCATACATTCTCTGTATGAGTGTCCATAATGCCAGCCTTAGATAAATAAATCATTCATTTGGAAGAATCACCTGTTGCTGTATTCCTGTTGCAAGATTCGCTGTTCAAAGCCTAACAGTATAGTCGTCATAATGAATCAGTACATTCACTGATTTACATATGCTGCAGATAATGGACACAATCCAACAGCATTGTCCTGCTCAGGAGGACATTCAGCTGGATTCTGCCCATTATGGTGGGTTTTTTTTAACCAATTATGTTTGTAGATCCCTGTAACTTTTACAAGATCAAATATGCCATTTTGTAATGTTGGATCCCCATTACTGGCAAGGGCACATGGACCTGAAAGAAAACAACTTTCACTTTTCAGTTCAGATTTGTTAAAGATTCAGGGAAGAGGTGGAAGAGATGTCTTTTTTGCTTGTAGACCACCTGGAGGTTATTGAAAAGCAATAAATGTTGTATTCCATTTTTATGAATGCCTCCTTTCAAGGTAGCCTCACCTAAAGTCACCTTACAGTATAGTGCATCTAGATAGTGTGCTCAGAGGGATATGCAATGCAATAAACCAGACTCATTGCTGAAACAATATATTGCAGCAGGCACCCTCTGCTAAGCTGAAACACGCTTGTACGAGATGAAGACAGAGCTTGCAATTTTGTATTAAAGGGAATCTGCAAGAAACTTTACAAAAAGTTCTACATTTTAATTTTAGGAGAGATAAAGAATTTGCAGTGGGTTTCCTCCTCTCAGATATAGTATGATCTCCTGATCATGTATGAGAAATTTCCTGACTAAGATTCCACCTTGATTGAAGGGCGAGACCACACAACCTTTAATTGAGAAATCCTTCCTTGCATCACACTTAGTTCAGCAGTCCCTGGAGTAATTAGGTATTAGCATAGCAAAGATCCCAAGTAGATGAGAGACATAAACCACCAAGACCATAAATGTGCAGCAGAACCATATGTTGGGAAGGAGAAGTAGTGTGTGTGTGAAGTCTAAAAGCCAGCTGACTCAATCAGAAGAGGCCCTCATGCATTAGCCCATTCAGTCTTCAACTGAATATACCCAAAGGTTGGGTATATGTATTTATTATGTAGTTTCTCATATTTTTACTCCACCATTGGACAACAGTCCTTATATTGGCATACAATAAAAACAAAAAAGAGCCATTTTCCATCAGTCCCCTGATAAGATTTTAGAGAAAGGAAACAGAATAGGGGAGGGAAAATTCAAGGACAGGAAGGACTTGAACATGGAATTTACAGGTCAGATATAAATAAATAATTTCAAAAAGGATATATAATATGGGGGAGGGGGACAAGGATGCTGTCAGACCTGGATCATGTTCAGTAGAGGGTGCAGTGAGGGAGAAGGAGATGAAGGCCATCTGTATACAATGGCAGCGGCAGGGCTAGGTGCTCAGACTGAGTGAGCAAAGCTGACCCTGCTGCTTTTAGAGACTGTTTAGAAGCACCAATTTTTCAGTTAAGCATTATATACATTGATTAAACAGGAAGGGGGCAGACGGAAAAGAAAACAGGGTCCCTTCACTTTTAATAGTTGTATGAAACTATTGTCAGAGCAGGGCCCCTGTCTTCTCCTTGCCATATTCTGGGAATACCACCTAGAATGCTCTGTCCTGTTGGTGCAAGGAGATATCTTACATTGGTGTGGGCTGGTCTCCCTGCAGATCCCTCCTTTGTTCAGAGCAGGGTTGTGATGCACAAGTTAACTGCTCATCTGACATCCCTCAGATCACCAGTTTGGTACCCACTGTAGGAGTTTTGGGGCTCACATAGCATGCCGTGCCCAGAAAGAAGGCATGAGCATGGAGTAGGTCAACAAGGTGACTGTGGGAAATGGCTCAAGGATGGACAAGGCAGTGGACTTAACAAACAATGACAGATATACCAGAGCAAATCCCAGCCTGGGCCAAGTGAAATTATCTGAAGAAATGAATCAAAAGGGAGGTTAAGCCTGGCTTCCAGTGGCCTATCCATGCCACTGCTTGCTAGGAAAAGATTAGCTCTTTCAGTTGCTACAGAGAACATAATCAGCCTAATTAAACCTCTCAACATGTGATTCCAGGATCTCCCATTGTTCAGTGATTAATACCCTGCTGTTTTTAATGTTTGTTAACAAATTGTTATCTGTGTGGTAAGGTGTTAAGAGTATAAAACAATACTAGATTTTGGAAGGGAAGTTGCTACATGCATAATAGAAATCACTATTCAGCTTTGATGGTACATAGAGAGTGGAAATAACTTTATAACTGTTATTACAGGGAGTCTAGCTAAAAACATTTTTAAAAACTACCCAATTCCATCTTGCTTTGCTTTTCTTGCTTTGCTTTTCCTTCCTTCCTTTTTTTAAATGCACGTTTTCAAACTATAAGTGTTGGCACCCGCATTCAACATTCTCTAGCCACTGAATGCTTAACCAAACACAAGATCTTACACAACCTCCCAGGACACACACACACTGTGGAGAAACTTCTCGGCAAAGCTCTAGAAGGTGAACTGTGTGGTAGCAAAAGTGGCAAAGGGTCTAAAGGAATCCTTAACATGAATACATTGTACAGCCGTACCTTAGTTTTTGAACAGCTTAGTTTTCGAACATTTTGGCTCCCGAACACCGCAAACCTGGAAGTGACTGTGCCAGTTTGTGAACTATTTTTGCAGCTTTTAAAACCATGGAGAGACCTGGTCTGAACAAAGACATTGGATTCTTATCTCATTATACATGACAAAGCCATTTTTCACCTTCTCACCCCTTGCTTTTTCCTGTAAGACCTATTGCAGTCGTTAAGAGTCGTCAACAGGCTCATCACAGCTATCTGCCAATCACCCATTCCCACCACCCTTCTGAGTAATACCCCTCCCCACCTTCTCACTATATAGAAGGATCTGGCAACTTCTGTTTCAGCGTATCTGAAGAAGTGTGCATGCACACGAAAGCTCATACCAAGAACTAACTTAGTTGGTCTTTAAGGTGCTACTGGAAGGATTTTTTTTTGTTTTTTCATTGTAGTATGTAATATGTGTTTATGGGTTTTGCAGAGATGGGGAGAGAGTTCTGACAGGGACTGAATCAAATAGTTTCCACCCTTTGCCTTCTAGCTGGCTCGCCACAATAAAATACTGCAGCACATGCTGAAGCCTGGGTCTGATCCAGAAGAAGGAGATGATGCTTTGAAGCACTATGCTAACCACACAGCCCAGATTGAGGTAAAGAGTTGTTCACTGAATGCAAAACATGTAGAGTCAGCACACTTGGACCTCTGGAAAATGCCTCTGAACCTCCCAGTTCCATGAACGTCAAAGTTAGCCATCTCCTTAAGAATCTTCATTGCAGGGAGTGGAGTAGATGAAGCTGGAGATAATTTCTAGTCCTTTATTTAAATGAGGCATCCACTTGAGTTCCACTCTAAGGGACAGTGCATTAAAAGAGGGAGGGGGATGTGACAGCCACCATTCAGTTCTGAACAATGTGAAGAAGGATGTGCAGAGTAGACAAAATTAATTACGGTATTTTTCTGTGTTAAACCTCATGGCCCCATGTATAAGATGCCCCCTCTTTTCTGGGACTCCAAATTGAGAAAATTTGGGGAGATTGCCCAGAGTTGTTGAGCTTTTTTCAGGAGGATTGCCCACAGTTGCTGAGGTTTGGGGGGGGGGGTTGCCAAGAATTGTTCACCCACAGGACCGCCACAGCCAATCGTGTGCACGTCGACAAATCCACCAATCATCTGTACACTCGCCAAAAGCAAGCGCCAATCGCCCGCCCAATTGCCGCAGCAGCCAGTAGCCAGCGGCCTTGACGCACCCACCAATCACCCGCAATTGCAGCAGCCACCAATTGCCCATCCCACCTCTCCACTATCCGTATAGATAGATAGATAGATAGATGGATGGATAGATAGATAATTTATTACGGTCAGAGACCAGCTTATAAAACACACTTGGGGGTACAGTCACAGAAGGAAAACAAACAATTAAAACAATGTACAACAATAAACTACCGCAGGTAGTTGACCCAGGGTCACCCATAGATCCGAGTTTGGGGATTTTCTTAACAAACTAGTTTGAGTTGGGAGATGGTCTGCACCTGCAGACCTATACACAGAATCTGGCGACCATGCTAGTCATTTTCTGATTTTTGCCTAACAGGAAAAGGTCAAATTTTTGCTTTTCTGGGAGGTCAGCAAGCCTCACCAGTAGGGGATCAATGGTCTCACTACGTGCCTCTTCATAAAAGGGACATCTAAAGAACAAGTGCTCTGGGCTTCCTATCTCCCCCAATGAACAGGTGCAAAGTCACTGAGCTCCTTCCAGGACCGGTGAGGGCAGAGCTGAGCTTCTGGCGAGTGTAAAGGCCCTTCTTGCATTTTTATATACAAGAAAGAAGAGATATGCCACCGGTGCTTATACACTATCCATGTATAAGATGATCCCCAATTTTTAGCATAATTTTTTAATAAAATAACCTTGACTTATACACAGATAAATACTATATTTCTTCACACAGCACACAATCTAGAAATTACCAGCACAAGGTTTGGTGGTGGCCACTAGCCTAGGTGGATTTTGAAAGGATTAAGAGACGTTAACAGGTTATTCTCTTTTTAAATTTTTTAATTAGTGATTAGCAGGGCTTTTCTTCAGCTAGAACTCACCTCTCAAGTGGGCGCCATTGCCATTATAAGAGAACAAGTGAGGCATTTATGGCAGCGCCATGGTGCAGGTTGACGGTGCCCAGGGGCAGGGCACGGAGGATGGGCATGGCAACCCAAGCCCTCTCCACTGGCCAAGCCACAGGGGTCTGACAGTAGATGGAGGAGACTAGGCAGTATGCACAGAGTTTAGCAAAGTGAAGGGAGGGAGAAATAGGCTTGAAGCTGCCCAGCAAGGAGGGCAAACCTGAAGGCTGTGGCACCATGTTCACGAAAAAGGAGGCAGCTGCCAGAGCCTCTCCTCTCCTTGGTGGGTGGCAGCAATGGCACCCTCCCCCTCCCTCTCAGCTGGCCAAGGGGTGGGGCATGTGCAGGTGGCAGCACCGCCCTAGCCCTGAAGGCCCAGCCTGGGATTGTCTTGTCTTGCCTCCTCATGGCTCTGATCTTGATAAGGGAACCTGTCATTGGGGTGCCTGGTTGTGCCGCCTTGCACCTCTTCAAAAATCTGTGCCTGCAGCCCTCCTGACCCTCCACATGCTACACCCCTGGTTCATGGTGAGTTCTGGCATCTTATTTTCTAGAAAAACAGCACAGTAGTTATAAGCCATTATGACTAAATGTAGTCTCCATGTTTAGCACCAGTATACTTCAAAGTATCATTTCTTGGGGGCAGACAATGCTTAATGGCCAGCACCACTGTGCCCCAAGCTTCTGCACCAGTGTTCTCCAAGCTGGTAGATGTTTTGGACTACAGCTCTCATCAGCCCCAGCCAGCATGGCCTAATGACTTGGAATTAGTGCCTAGAACATCTGAGGACACCAGCTTGGGGACGGCTGGTCTAGACAATCTGGCTGACCTTTGCTGGAAACAAAACAAAGGTCTAATCCAGTCAAGTCTAATCCAGCAAGGCAAATATTATGTTCATATGACTATAGCAAACTACTTTTGGACTTGGAACATGGGAATTTCATGCCAGAGATTTTGAAATGGGCACTGCTTTTCTAAGATTTTAGCTCTGAGGATACTGATCCCAGTGTCTTTAAACTCGTTTGCATGGGGGATCCTGCCACAACCAAAGAAATGCATTTTTCTTATAAAACTGCTGTTTTAACTTGCATCAAGAAGCTTGAGCAGTTGAGAAAGCGTTGTGCCCATTTATCAAGATAGTCAAAACTGAATCATGTGCATCAGTATAGAATGAATTTAGCATTTAATGGGACATTTTAATTGTTTGCCTTGTGTATCAGTTTTGGCCCAAACTGAAGCCACTTTTGTTGACAGTAGGACCTGGAATGTCACAATCTTCTTGATTAAGTGTTCAGATGGCAAAACGCTGAGACTATTTGCTCAGGTTCTGAATGCTAATTGTGGGGAAAATTTGTCCTGGCAAGTAAACAAATCAGCGCAGAAGGACTTCATCCTGCATAATAATATATGTCCTTCCTGTACTTCAGCTTTCACTGTAGCATTGCATTCCAGCTGATAAACCTTGGTCCACACTTTAAAGTTTGTGGAGGGACACCATTTCAGTCCTAGTCTCTAGAGCCTCTAGGGCAGAAGTCCTCATAGCTGCTCTGAAGAGGCAAGCAGATGAACCTGGTGCTTTGTTGGACTCACCACAGCTTTTCCACATAGTGCTAAACCATGATTTAATGTTACATACAAATACAGTCAGCATGTTGCTTTTTAGACATTCAGGGCCACACATTAGAGAGAACCTCTGGCTCATCTCTATCCCCTCTCAATATACAGAGGCCTAGTTCACATGTTATACCAAGCCAAATCATGCTTTACCATTCATGATTTATCTGGAGTAAGGCAAACCATGAGCCCAAGTTCAAACGCAATGCTATACCAAAATACTTCTTAGCTCTGGATATTTGCTCATTCTTGGTAAGTGAATTCTCTCCATTAATTCTCATTATTGGCTTAGTGTTGCATGCGACCCAGGTCAGTGTAGCACAATGTGTGAGATGCAGAGACCACCTTTGTATGTGAGTAGGTACCACTCACAAAACTTTCTCATCCCTTTTTTAATGGGGACACTGATCACATACAGGTAGATTGTTTTTTGTGCATGGAGGGCACGAGGCAAAGCCTCCCTCCCACATCTGGCAGCATGTAAGACCCATGTATTCACCAGCACTTCCAGGTCATGTTACTTTCTTTAAAAATAAATCATTTTAATCATTGTGTAATGCTTAGCATTTTACTGTTTTCTGCAATTAAAAATAATTAAAAATAAGCTTTGCTGTGCTTTGGGGATGCATCATTTTCTAAACATTTCTGTCTACCTTTCAAGGGATGCTTAGGATTTTGGAGGACAAAGACTGAAGTTGAAAATCTCCCAAAGTAAAGCTTGCAGAGCATCTGTTAAAGAACAGTCACTTTGCTACCCTTGAAATTAATATTTCCCTCTTTCCTGCTTGTAGACAAACTGTAACTGTGCCAAATTACATTGTCTGGAAGATGGATAGAATTTAGCTGTATCTATCATCTTATTTGTCCCTTTCCTCAGCCCATAGAAGCAAGAATCAGTTTATATATGATATTCAAACCTTGTATGCATCTGAGTGAGAAACATATATTTGCAGATCGTCCGTCATGATAGGACTATGGAACAAATAGTCTTCCCTGTGCCAAATATCTGTGAATTCCTCACGCATGAATCCAAGTACCGTGTGTTCAATACTACCGAGAGAGATGAACAAGGAAGCAAAGTAAATGACTTTTTCCAACAGACAGAGGATCTGTATAATGAAATGAAGTGGCAAAAGAAAATCAGGAGTAAGTACAATAATTTGTGAGCTTGTTACGTGCTATTGGCCTAGTTCACAGAAGATGTAAACCAAAGTTTGTCCCACTCTCTGAGATCAAGCAGTGTATGTCAGCATTCTGATCTGAATTTCTGTGTGTCCATGTGATACTGTGTAGAAAAAAAGAGAGACACTCATGTGACATGGCTCCAAAGCATTTTAGATCCAGGAGTCAACAACGACTTGTGCTTAGTCACAAGTGAAATCTGAAAAGCTGATCTGTACTGACTCTAATTGCAGATTCTATTTCAGAAGTTTCTACCTGAAGACAACAAGCACATCTCTCTCCTTAAAGAACAGTGACAATTAGTGTCAATACCTGTCTATGTGGGATAGTTTGTATGGAATATTAATGAATAGCACCCAATCATGACAGGATTTCTAATTTCCCATGTGTGTGTGTGTGTGTCTATCTGAAATTGCTGTGCTCAGTAGTTATGAGAAGACGCTGATTCAATTATCACCTTAGCAATGAACTGAGGCAAGCCAGTAACTAACTTACTTTACAAGCATGTTATAAAGAATACTGAGTTAATAATGTATGTGAAGCACTTTAGAAAAGCTTTATTATTTTATGCCATCCCCAGGAGCATGATAAGAATCATCATCATCAGTTTGAGTTTTTTGTATGTCACTTCTTCATGGTAAAACCATGCTGAAAGCAGCTCACAACAAAAGGAATAAAAAAATAATTCAAGATAATTCATTAACCATTACAAAACAGAACACATTTTAAACAAATAGTCATACTAATACTAATAGGCAAAACAAACAATATGAGCCAGACAGAGAAGCACAGACCAGGGACTCAGCTACACAGCTGCAAGTAAAACGTTTTAAATGTGTTGTAAAGTGCAATATACAAATTGGACACTAGATGGCAACCGAGCTATGCAAAATTCAATGTGTTTTTCAAAATGTTAAAGCATTTTCACAGCATTTTTTTATATGTGTGTGGATTCCACTAGGATTTGCAGGACTCACAGCTAGATGGAAATGAGCCAGTGGTGACCAAGTTCTTTGAAAAAGCAAATCCAAAATGGTCAGCATAATTTCTCAGACAGTGTGGATAGACTCTCAGTGCTGGCTCAGTAATTGGCCACATAGTAAAGATGAGTTTAAGACCTTGCATGTGTGGTCATCAGATTTATATTCAACTTCCAGTATGTACCTTGACCAAACCTTTCAACAGTGACTTTAATTAATACATTATGCCCAGGTATCATACCAGTTTTACATGGATACTATGTCATCATTACTGGGTCTGGTTCTTGGTGCAGAAAGGGGTATTAAGACCAGATCCTCCACGGACATCCCTGATTTAGAGAAGCCATCCCAGTTTTTTATTTGATCCCGGAACTTTTCCTTAGGATGTTCCTATTTTCATTGGAGAAATGTTGGAGGGTATGGAGTTATCCCACCCCTGAGCCATCTGAAGGGAAGGGTTTTTTTAATGTTTAATGTTTCATATATATGTATGTGTGTGTATATGTGTGTATATGTGTGTGTGTGTGTGTGTGTGTGTGTGTATATATATATATATATATATATATATATATATATATATATGTGTGTGTGTGTGTGTGAATGAAGCTGCCAAGAATGGCTGGGGCAACCCAGTCAGATGGGTGGGGTATAAATAGTAAAATTATCATTATGGAGTGGAATGTCCCTATTTCCCTATTTTCATTGGAGAAATATTGGAGGGTATATAAGAGCAGGCAAAGGGATGTGTTTATAACCCAAGTGTTTATAACCCAAGGTACCACTGTATTCTGAAAGAACCAGAAGGTGAGCACTGTATAGAAATTAAATCTGTGCCTGTCGTATCCTATTGATTCTTCCTGCCTGTGCATAGGGAATGCTAGAGTTTCTTGTACAGGTTCCCTTCAGTTTCAACACTGTGTCTGATTAGCTACAGCAAATCTCATTAGATTTTACAAGGTATGGATATGTAGTTGCCGTGAAATAAATTTGCATACATATCAGTAGTGGCTGGTGTGGTAGGAGAGAGCCATGGAGCAGGATGCACCAGCAGAGCCCATCCAACATGACTGCCTTACCAACCTTGACCTTGTCCCCACCCTTCCTCTCTCCCACCTTATCTAGGTGAAGCTGCAACATTGTCAGAGTCAAGGGGGGCTCCAGCCCACCGCACGGCCGCCACTGATGAATCATCTAGTATTGATTTATCTATGTACATACTGCTTAATTGCCAAAGTAGCATTGAAGCAGGTTACAAGTATAAATCTACAATTTAGCCTCAGTTGTTTCCCTCAAGGTAATGGGCTTGAAGCCTAGGCTAGGCCCTCCTGGATACCTTTCCCCCTTTCCTGGTCTCTGAGTGACTTGGCCTCCATGGTTCATACTCACCCCTCTCTTCCATAATGTGTAGTTTTACTCACATGTGATGTCACAGGTAAATAAAACAACAAATCTAGGTGGGAAGCCAGCACCACACAGCAGCTGCCTCTGCTGCCTCTTGTCTAATGACCTTGACTGGCTGCCCAGGGCCTCTTTTCATTGTGAGAACAGAGCCTAAATTTGTTTCATTTCAAACCCCCTGGTGCCCACAGATATTTTAGTTGTTTACTGCTTCATTGCAGGAGATTTTACATCACATCACTTCTAGAAACTGTTATTTTTTGATGATCATAATTCTGCTGCCTCCTTGTCAGAATGTTGCTCTTCCCTCCCCAGATAATCCAGCTCTATTCTGGTTCTCCCGGCACATTTCCCTCTGGGGAAGTATATCTTTCAATCTGGCTGTTTTCATCAACCTAGCGGTAGCTCTTTTCTACCCATTTGGAGATGATGGCGATGAAGGTAAGCAATTTCATTTCTAAATTTTCAAAACCCAGCATAAACCTGGAGCCAGTGTTACCTCATTTCTTATATACCGTATATATTTCAAGTTTTGCCTATTCCCATCCCTCTTCTTCAGCTAAAGAGATGGCAAAACAAACTCATTGCATATGTGTCAGGAGGCAAAAAATCTAGGATAAGAAACAAAACTCTTTACAGACATGGGATGGGAATGCCTAACTTAATGTTAAACTGTGCTGCTTTTCAAATCAAATCCTTGATCCCATTGCTCAGCAGAATAACACAGGACCCTTGGGTCCAACTTGACATGGTCCCTTTGACACCTTCAATGAGAGGCTGCCCCTTCTTACCTTTGTCCTTGAAGTAAGTAAGGAAAATAGGCAAACCATTTACTAGATCAGTACTGATGGTGTGGAGAACATGGAACAAAACAGTGGCCCTTCACCAGTGGTCCCATTCCTGGATCATCCAGCTTTTACATACACAAATAAATATCAGCTGTTCGAGGATTGGGAAGACGTAGGCATTTACACAATCCGTTACCTGCTTCCTGGAGGGAAAGCAATTTCCCAAGAGGAACTGCAAGGCAAATTAAAAGATACTCATACTACCTGGTTTCAGGTAGCTCAGACTCATTCTTTTGCACTTTGTTTGGAGTGCAGGGCAGAGGGCCTACAGACACATCCTTTGTTTGAATCCTTATGCAGCAGGCCAGCATATGCCCTGAAAGGTACCTCTTCCCAAATATACAGCAATCTGTATATCAGGAAGTGCAGGTGGGGGTGCTAGAAGCCTTCACTTGTGTAGGAATTAGATTTAGCCACCCAACTGAAAGGTAATGGGTATCTGGACCACTCCCCGTTCAAAACCATCTCCGCTCGCTAACAAGAGGCCTCCCTCAAGGGAGGCAAAAAGTAATCCCTCCCTTTCCCCTTTATATTGGAAGGGCTGTGGAAAGCTTGGTTCATTTATTCAGGTTTGGTGGGAATGCCCTTATGTTAAAAACTTTTGGAAGAGAGTATTCCATTATATCTGCAATTACAGGGCAACCCCTTTCTCCAAATCCTGCCTTAGCCCCACTATCTTTGGAAATAGATTTAGGCTCCACCCTGTGCCACAGTGAACTAGTAGGCTTCTTACTGACCGCAGCACAATTAGTGATAGCTCAGCAATGGAAGAACCAGGCTGAAATACCCCTGAACATAGGGGAAAATATTATCTGGGATACAGCAATGTCTGAGAGTCTCACTCAACCAGGCTTCCTCTGGCCCTCCAAATGTTTTTGGCCTACAACTCCCATGATTCCTAGCTAGCAGGACCAATGGTCAGGGATGATGGGAATTGTAGTCTCAAAAAACATCTGGAGTGCCGAGGTTGAGGAAGCCTGCACTAGACACAGGAGGGCAATTGAAGGCATAACGTATAGAGAAACGTGGACCCCTTTCTTTAGCTATGTTAATGACCAAAATCAAGACCTTCTTATGCAGTACCAATTGCTCAATATTCTCAGTGGAGAGGTTACATGAAGTAATATGTTTGAATGTTGAATGTTGAATGTGTAAGTGTAGGTCTAGGGACAATGGATAACATACACGATTAGCTATACTGCTGGGTAAGTGTTTAATGGTTATTGTATTTGTTTAAAAACCAATAAAAATTCTTTTTAAAAATGTCTGCAAGTGTTTAAACGTGAGAGATCTTAATTTGTGATGTTTGGGGCAGCAGATATGGCAAGGGTGCTAATAATTGTTAAGTGAGAAGTTTGGGTGTCATTCAGAAAGTTCTGCGCCAACATGCTCATTAAGATACTCACATCCCCCGAGGCATATGATTTGCTCCTGTCATGTGTTCTGATTGCCTTCTTCAGCTCAGTGCAGCTGAATAACTCCCATCATGTGCTCTTGGAAGTACATTAATTCCAGTATTCTTGGAATTAATAGGTTAAGCTCAGCACCTAAAATGTGTGGGCATGTCCTGAGAGTCAGCGGGGAGCAAAGGGAAATACCTCTTCTGGTTTAGGACTAGTTTTCTTGGGGGAGGGGAACATGTCTCATGTTTTAATCACTGCTAACCATACCCATGTCAATTGTTCACATACTTTTAATTATATTGAGTAGGGCTGGAAAGGTTAGATGGAGTACAAAACAGGGAGTTGCATCATCACTGAAGTGGCAGCTTTATTTATTAAGAGTTAAGATTACCCAGACAACCATGCAGATGAATGTTAATGCCTGCATGAATAGAGGGTCTCACCTGCCCCCTCCCAAAAAAAGAATTTTAAAAACATGCATGTGAGAGCCAGATTAGATATACATGCCAAGTGGTAAAGTGGTAATAATGCTTTTTTCTAGAAAGTTCTATTTCAGCTAGAAGATTTTTTGGGGGAGGGGTTGCCTGTTTGAATGCTCCTTGCATATAACTACGTAATCTCAATCTCTCTCTCTCTCTCTCTCTCTCTCTCTCTCTCTCTCTCTCTCTCATATACACAAACACACACACACACGCACACACACACACACACACACACACAAATAGCCTTTTCTCTGATGTACTATATTTCTGTGTGCAGGGATTTATTTTACTTAAAGGTAAAGGACCCCTGACAGTTAAGTCCAGTCACGGACAACTCTGGGGTTGCGGTGCTCATCTCACTTTACTGGCCGAGGGAGCTGCCGTTTGTCCGCAGACAGTTTTTCTGGATCATGTGGCCAGCATGACTGAGTCGCTTCTGGCGAAACCAGAGCAGTGCACGGAAACGCCGTTTACCTTCCCACCAGAGTGGTACCTATTTATCTACTTGCACTTTGACGTGCTTTCGGACTGCTAGGTGGGCAGGAGCTGGGACCGAGTAACGGGAGCTCACCCTGTCATGGGGATTCAAACTGCCGGCCTTCCGATCGGCAAGCCCTAGGCTCAGTTCCTCCCTCCCTCCCTCCCTCCCTCCCTCCCTCCCTCCCTCTCTCTCTCTCTCTCTCCAACATCTTCAAGTGTTTGGGATACTTGTGAGGATAGGACCATAAGGGACAAAAACTGCTTCCTTCGACTGCTTCATTGATGGTTCAGGAGCTGTGATCCCTTGTTGCTATGCCATCACCTGCTCAGCACCACATGGGCTGAAAGGATAGGTCAGACTCCAGGTCACTCCACTTCAATCCTTGGCTGAGCCAGCCTGCCAATAAGAGTGTTTGTAATCTTCAAGTGTGGTGCAGGAAGTATTAATGAGGAACACGTGTTTCTCCTTGAAACCGGATTCACTCCACTGATGGTGGTTCACATGTTACTAACTGGACTCATTATGAACTCATGACCGAGAGGTAGAAGGGTTTATATCAATACCTTTAGCAAACTTTTAACATAGCATGTTTAAAAGCAGCTTTAGTCTGCAGCTTGTGGCGATAGGGTCTTCCTTCTTCCTGCAAACTATGACAACACATAAACATATCCACTTCTACTTTTATTATGAACCGAAGCATGCATGAGTCCATTCTGTATCCACTTCTACTATTCGCTTGACCTTAGCCCAAGGTTGCAGTTTTTGTTTATTTATTACAGCACAGCACAAGGCACATCAGGGATGGCGGTGTAGAGCAGTGTTTCCTAGAGCAGGGGTCCCAGGATGTTCCAAGGGGGCCACAGGTAAAAATTGCATAAATGGCCACAGCACGAGGCATGGGGACCACAGAGGGAAGTGAAGAAGAACATTTTTTCTTCTTTTTTTAAAATCCTGATTGATTGGCCAATCAATCCTGATTTCTTTCCGGTGGGAGAGGGTGATTGCTGAGGCTCCCCTTTTGACCAGTAGAGCCTGCAATCCAGAACCCCCAGGTCAGGTGGGCTGGCAATGGGTAGGGCTGGGTGAGCCAGAGCTGCTTGTTGCTGCCACCAGTGCTAGGCCTGACTCTGCAAGGCATGGGGTGCAATCCATGCAAGCAGATCAGGGCCTTCGGATGTTGCCAAGGAGCGCAGGGCCCATCGGCAGCGTCGGCCCGGCTCTTCAAGGTGCGGGCTGGCGTCTAGCTGAGTGGGGTCGTCTGGTGCTGCTGGCTTGCATCTACTGTAGCAAATAATGAAGTGTCTACTCAGAAGAAAGCCGCACTGAGTTCAGTGGGCCTTATGGGAGTAAGGTTAAGGGTGGGGCTATAGTGTTTTTTCTAGGCAAACAGGACTCCTCCAGATAGCAATATCTTTTTTGCACCAAGTCAGTGAGGACCACTAGCTTTTTAATTCCCCCCTCCCCATATATACAGAACTCCCTGTGCACCTTTTGGACTGTATCTGTAGCTTTCCCACTCTGTGTCAAATAACTGGGGTCACATAAGTGTTATTTACTTTTTATAATACATGGAAGATGGATCTTCCTCATGAGGTTCTGGACTCTCCTTCCTTGGAGGTTTCTAAGCAGAGGTTGGATGGTCGTCTGTCATGGATGCTTTAGCTGAGTTTCCTACGCTGGAGGGGTTTGCACTCGAAAGATGACCCTTGGGGTCCCTTCCAGCTCTATGATTCTATGTTTTCCTGCTTCAACAATATTTCATTATGTTCCTATCATTTTATGTAACTGTATTTTGTATAAATTAATATATATATATAAATAAAACATGTTCTATTTACAAACAAAACATTTAAATAGCTACCTTTCTACCCGTAGGATGGGGAGGCATGGATGTAGCCAGAATTTTGGGGGGGGGAGAACCTAAGATTTGTATTAATTTGTATTGATTTTTACATATTTGGGGGGACAGCTGCCCTCACCCCCCTTTGGCTATGCCCAAGGAAACTAGGTCGGAAGGGGACCATGGTTGGGAAAATGTTGGGAAACACTGGTGTAACGAGCCTAGTAGCTTCCTCAACAGCTCCTGGATTCTGACTGTGTTCCAGAAACAACCACACTCACTTACCTACAGGATAGGTACCCACCTGCAGTTGGGAATGGCCCAGCCTGTTTAGTGCTTTTGCCACAGCTTTATCTGCTGAAATCATTTCACTGCAGGAAAAATATGTCTGCAGATCAAGGCACTACTAAAAGCACAAGAAAAGGGCTCCCAGCCTTGTTGCCATCTTGCTCATTTTATCTTCTACATCATTATGACTGAAAAAGTATAAATCTGTAAATACAAATTTTCCTATACATACTGAGTTGGACAGGACACTGGTATTGTATCAGTAATACAGTTTTTACGTTATAAAGTTATAATGACTTTTTCTTTCTTTCTTTTTCTTTCTAGGCACACTTTCTCCGTTATTTTCAGTTCTTCTCTGGATAGCAGTAGGCATATGTACATTGCTGCTTTTCTTCTTCCCTAAACCTGTTGGTATTCGCCCATTTCTGGTGTCTGTAATGCTCAGGTCCATATACACTATTGGCCTTGGGCCTACATTGATCCTTCTTGGTGCTGCTAACGTAAGTACTTCAACAACAACAACAATTTATTATTTACACCCCGCCCATCTGGCTAGGTTTCCCCAGCCACTCTGGGCAACTCCCCACAGAATATTAAAAATATGATAAAGCATCAAACATTAAAAACTTCCCTAAACAGGGTTGCCTTCAAATGTCTTCTAAAAGTCAGATAGTTGTTTATTTTCTTGACATCTGATGGGAGAGTATTCCACAGGGCGGGTGCCACTATTGAGAAGGTCTTCTGCCTGGTTCTCTGTAACTTCACTTTTCGCAGTGAGGGAACCGCCAGAAGGCCCTCGGTGCTGGACCTCAGTGTCCAGGCCGAACAATGGGGTGGAGATGCTCCTTCAGGTATCCTGGGCCGAGGCCATTTAGGGCTTTAAAGGTCAGCACCAACACTTTGAATTCTGCTCAGAAACGTACTGGGAGCCAATGTTGGTCTTTCAGTACCGGTGTTATATAGTCTCGGCGGCTGCTCCCAGTCACCAGTCTAGCTGCCACATTTGGATTAGTTGAAGTTTCCATGTCACCTTCAAAGGTAGTAGTCCAAGCAGGAGATAACTAGAGCATGCACCACTCTGGCAAGACAGTCTGCAGGCAGATCGGATCTCAGTCTGCATACCAGATGAAGCTGGTAAACAGCTGCTCTGGACACAGAATTGACCTGCATCTCCATGGACAGCTGCAAGTCCAAAAGGACTCCCAGGCTGCGCACCTGGTCCTTCAGGGGCACAGTTGCCCCATTCAGGACTAGGGAGTCCTCCACACCTGCCCGCCTCCTGTCCCCCCCCAAACAGTACTTCTGCCTTGTCAGGATTCAACATCAATCTGTTAGCCGCCATCCAACCTCCAACCGCCTCCAGGCACTCACAGAGGACCTTCACTGGTTCTGATTTGAAAGAGAGGTAGAGCTGGGTATCATCCGCATGAACACTAATGAACATCCAGCCCAAACCCCCTGATGATCTCTCCCAGCGGCTGCATGTAGATAACAAGAAGCATCAGAGAGCATCAGAGAGAGGATGGAACCCTGAGGCACCCCACAAGTGAGAGCCCACGGGTCCAAACACTCATCCCCCAATACCACTTTCTGGACACGGCTCAGGAGGAAGTAGCAGAACCACTGTATAACAGTGCCCCAGCCCCTCTAGACAATCCAGAAAGATGTCGTGGTCAATGGTGTCAAAAGCCGCTGAGAACTCCAGCAGAACTAAGAAACAGCTTTCACCTTTGTCCCTGGCCTGTCAGAGTTCATTGACCAGTGCAACCAAGCCAGTGTCAGTCCCATGATGAAGCCTGAATCCTGATTGGAAGGCATCCAAATGGCCCGCATCCTCCAGACGTGCCTGTAGTTGTTCAGCAACCACCTGCTTAATCACCTTGCCCAAGAATGGAAGATTTGAGACTGGGCAATAGTTGGCCATATTGGCTGGGTCTAAAGATGTTTTTTTAAGAAGCGGTTTAATAACTGCCTCTTTCAGTGTGGCTGGGAAGGCTCGCTCACAGAGGGAAGCATTCACCACCCTCAGAGCCCATCGCCCAGTCCTTCTTGGCTTGCTTTTATGAGCCAGGATGGGCAAGGATCAAGGAGACAGGTGGTCAGTTTCACTTGTCCAAGCAACCTGTCCACATCCTCGGAGGTAACAGGTTGGAACTGACCCCGTGCAACTTGAATGGACAGGACTCTAGCACATTCCCGCCCGGGCCCTGCTCCTATGGTAGAGTCTACCTCTTTCCAAATCTGAGCAACTTTATCTGCAAAAAAACTGCAAAATCATTGCAGGAGATCTTGGGGTCCATACCATGTCTATAACACAGGTGGTTCTGTTACATTGTGAACCACCTGAAGGAGTCTCCTGCTGCTGTTTTCTGCAGATGCAATAGAGGCAGTGAAGAAGGTCCTCTTCGCTGTCATTATCGCCACTTGGTAGGCTTGACATTGAGCTCTAACCCGCGTCTGGTCAGATTCAGAATGAGTTTTCCAATAATCACTTTATCTATAAAGTTGGCTGTTTGTCTCTTTTCCATTCATCTTGGGCCATTAAAAAACTAAGGTAGTAGGGTATACAAATAATCTGTTCAATTTCAAGCCTCAACTCAAAGAAAAGGGAAGGGCGAACACATTTGGGCTGCAAGCACATTCCTAGGCCTACTTTGTCCATTTCATTATGGAGTTTAAAACCCTGAAATTAAACTGTGATATGCTTTTCTTTCCATTGGCTCATTTGAGATCTGTAGAACCACCAAACTGGGCATGGGGATCCTTTGCTGAAACAGAAACAGCTCTAACTGCCAGTGTAGTAGCTTCCATGATGCAATGCTTCTCCTGGTCAAAAGCTGCTTGTCTGGTGGGGTGGAGCCCCATCACTAATGTCCCAGTGGCTGTATCACTGCTACTTACTGGGAAGCAAAGGAGCCAGGGAGGTCAGCGCAGTGCAGGCACACTTGTGGAGTCAATCCAGTGCTTCTGCTGGTGTGCCCTCACCATGCCAACTTCACCACTTCACCTCTCTCTGTCCTGGTAAACAGCAGCAACATAACTACCAGGAAGCTAGCATTACAGCTTCACCCCACCAGGTCAAAGTTTTTTGGGGGGCAGTTGGAGATAATATGTGGTGTTGGGGGGGAAATGTGAACGGTTGATAATGTGGAGTTGGAAAAACTTGGGAGGACAAATGGTCACGCTAAACGTATGTGATTATTAAGCACTTAAATGCAGGGACAGCAAGTACACAAATTATAGAAAAGTGGAATGCATTCAGTTTCCATACTTAAACCAAACTTCAATTTGGCCAGAACCTCCAGTTCTTCATCTCCATCTCTGAGCAGTAATGCTTTGTCACCTCCTTGTAAATACCCTTAAAATAGTTCTATTTTTGTACCTGTTAGTTAATAAACTAAGGCAGATTAATAAATGAATCATCAGTAGATAAGAACTATTGACTCTTATAGCCTTAAAAAAACAACCACAAATTAGTGTGGGGTGTCTGATAGGGAATTTGTGCAGTTGGAAAATCCGCTTAATAAAACCTCTGCGCTATGCATGCTCCACCAGTGTGTGCAGTGGTAACCCCCATGTAAAATGAAGATTGACTATATATAAAGAGGGGGGATAATATGGTAATAATATGGTTAATATTGTATTCTAAATGTTTTCCTGGTGTGATATTCTAAAGAGATATGGTTCAGATGATTGAAGCATAGCAATTTTTGTCCACTCCCCCAGCTTTGTAACAAGATTGTATTTTTGGTGAGCTTTGTTGGGAATCGAGGCACATTTACTCGTGGATACAGAGCAGTCATCATGGATATGGCCTTCCTCTACCACGTTGCCTATGTCCTTGTCTGCATGCTGGGACTCTGTGTGCATGAATTCTTTTACAGCTTCCTGGTGAGTATATCTCTGGAGTGTGGCTGTTTTGCCAAAATGAAAAATACAACTCATTTGATTCATGTTAGATCTCAATCCTGGTGTTCTGACACTATTTGTATGACGCTTGTGTTTGTCCACATATGTTGGTCATTAGTCACACCCATATTGCATTTTTAGATGTACAATTCAATCATCTTAGGATGATTGACACCATGAAGGATGTGTTTCTTATTGGTTTGTGTGGGTAAAAAAGATGTACATATTTTAATACCATTGATTAATAGCAATAGTAGTGATGCAAGTTTAAAGAACATCATTCTTTAAACTGACGTTCCCTCTTCCTTCTTTAAACAAGAACTTAAAACCATGTTCTACTTATTTGTATTATTCACCTCTGTTTGCAGAATGTACTTTTTTGTGGAATACAACACATGCATTGAAGGCATCTCTGCAGATGCTTGGAAATGAAGCCATAATATTAGATCGTATCACTTTTATCATTAAGGAAGGTGAGGCTGCCATCTCAGGCAGCAGATCTAGAGCATTGTTCATGGTGACAGAGGAGGAGATGGACAGATCTGATGCATGAGCATCAGTTCCATGCTCATGAAACAGGCAACCTTTAGCTGCATGGTAACAGATTTGCCTACTAGGCAAGTAGGCAAAGTGCCATTGAAATGAAAGGGTACTGAGCCCGTGTGTAGTAATATGTATTTGAATTGGATTTGGGCAGAGTACCTCACAAAGTATTTGTGAAGATAAAATGGAGGGGGGGGTAAGTGTGTATGTCACTTTGAGTTCCTTGGGTAATAGAATCATAGAACAGGGACTCTGAGGATCATATATTCAAACCCCCTGCAATGCAGGAATATATAGCTGTCCCATATGGGGATTGAACCTGCAACGTTGGTGTTATCAGCCAACTGAGCTATCCAGTGCACAGATGGGATATAAATTTAATAATAAATAAACATACAATATTAGTGAATGCCATTTGGGTTTTCTACCTGAGTAGCCAAAATGTTTTGAGCCAGCCTTATGTCTTTATCCCTTAGTATAGAGGTTTTCAACCTTTTGGAGTCCATGGCTCACTTGACCAACCACATTCTTTCTGCAGCTCACCTGTGGAATACAGGGAAATCCCTACTTACTTGGGAGTTCCATCCCAGGCCACCGCGCCCATCACCAGGACACCTCCCCTTCCTTCCTTGGCTTTGAAGGTTGCTGAGGAGCTCCATTTTGCTGTGTTATAACACTCATAGGGTCTGAACACATTTGTTCCTGCTCGCAGTTGACCCATCCCATACATCCCTGGTGCATCCATCAGTGCTGTAGCAACATTGGCAGATTTTTAAAGCTTTTGCCATGGTCTAGTTTGCTGCATGGGTCGCGGGTGGTGCTGTGGGTAAAACCTCAGCGCCTAGGACTTGCCGATCGCATGGTCGGCGGTTCGAATCCCCGCGGCGGGGTGCGCTCCCGTCGCTCGGTCCCAGTGCCTGCCAACCTAGCAGTTTGAAAGCACCACCGGGTGCAAGTAGGTAGATAAATAGGGACCGCTTACCAGCGGAAAGGTAAACGGTGTTCCGTGTGCTGCGCTGGCTCGCCAGATGCAGCTTGTCACGCTGGCCACGTGACCCGGAAGTGTCTGCGGACAGCGCTGGCTCCCGGCCTATAGAGTGAGATGAGCGCACAACCCTAGAGTCTGTCAAGACTGGCCCGTACGGGCAGGGGTACCTTTACCTCTAACTTTAGTTTGCTGCATAAGAGTAGGTAGTTACAGGAGGCAGTCAATGAGACTGGTGGAGCTGCAGCATTTTTAAGTTGCTTCTTCTGTTACCATGCAGCTAAAGGCTTCCTGTTTCACTTTGACTATCTTCATTTTAAGTATTGATGATTCACCCATAATACTGGATTTGTTAATAATCATAGTTATTGCATTACTAGTTATTACATGATTAAAGCACCTGTACTCAGGTGGAGTTCTTTTAAAATATTTTTTCTAAGGTGTTCATATGGTGTGTCTATCCAGTCCCATTTTTTTCTTCCACTTTTTAAACTTGTGCGCCTAGGACCTCTTTGTGATGGATTGCAATGATATTCTCCATACTGTTTTGTTGTCCCATTATAACAGAGAGCCATACAGAAGGTGGTTACTTGCTGGTTTAAGTATTTCTGTCCAACTGCTTCCAATATTCAAGAGAGCTAAGAACAAGCAGTCATCCGCATAAAACAACAACAACAACAAAAACTATACAAAATAATCCTACAGGTGTTAAGATTGCTTTAATATCATTAACATAAAGCAATTTGTATGCCATGGAAAAATCTTAATGCTTTAGGATTAGTTATGTGAATTGACAGAAAGTGGTGTCTTGGGCCAGCTCTGGACAATGCCCGCTGAAATCATTGTGCTGCTTATTCCTCTAATGCAGTGGTTTTTAAGTTCATGCAAAGCACTGAGCTATCTGTTAGTCCCCTGCATTACTCAGTCAGAAATGAGAGTGCATCCTACAACACACTCAGCAGACACGTGGCTGCACATAGGCAGGGAGGATAGATCTTGGTGGGCAACCTGCCTTTCACAGAAGCTTGTCCTGCATTACTGATTTTCTCATTGAGAAATCTGTAAGTTTTTAATTGATCCTGGGATCCCCCAGATCAGAGTTTGAAAATGTCTGCACTATTGCATTACTTGAGTTCAGGTGGCAATCACTTTAAGGAGCTCTGCTGATCACTTTTCTGTTTTATGTTGCCCCCCCCCCCCCAGTTATTTGACTTGGTGTACAGAGAGGAGACGTTACTGAATGTAATTAAAAGTGTTACGCGGAACGGACGCTCCATTATTTTGACTGCAGTATTAGCGCTCATCCTTGTGTATCTCTTCTCCATTGTTGGGTTCTTGTTCTTGAAAGATGACTTCATCATGGAGGTGGAAAGAACACCTATCACAGGTATTGCTCCTACTAGCAAAACTTGTTTCCACTGTAGTGTATTATTAATTCCAGATAGGATCCATCTCCATTCCAGTGACAACAGAATATTAGATAGATAATGGAGTCTTATTTGGGTAGTATCATTTTGTGAACTTTGCTCCTTCAAATCCTTTCTTTTCAGCACAGATTCATCATTTGTGATGCATAAGGCAAAATAGGTGTTTGATCAAATAAAGCTGATATATACGTCGTTTACTCACTTTAGAAATGTTAAATTAGTGTTTTACTCAACTCCATACATATTTATAAATGAGAATCAAACAATGTTTTCATCCTTGAAACTCTTTAAATATTCTGGATTTAAAAAGATGATGCCTCAGCTCAGTGTCCTCCTTGTCATTCTTTGTGAATACTTTAATGATTTTTTAAAATTGATGTTATTTTCATATCTGACAGTTGTTTCTAGCTTTGAATATATTTCATCCTAACTAGATGGAGTTCTGTTTGATGTCAGTTCTGTAATTTAGGCAGAAGCAACAGTAAAATGCCTGTGATATATTGTAAATGTGAAACCCTGATCTCTTCATTACTGCCAGTGCTTTAGTCTTCTTCCTCAACAGTCTTCTTTCATTGTTTCTTCTGACACTAAGTGAGAGATTTGGTGACTTGTGGGTTTTATCATGGCCAGAACACACAATTATTTGGGAGTTCAAATGTTATTTACATAATTGTTGTTAAGTAAAACAAAGGTAGAGATATATCTCAAGCTGTCTCGTACAAATTAATAAAGCAACAAAAGACTTTTATCCACAGATTTTGCAATGTATTTAAATTTAGGTCCTTGATCAAGTGAGTATATCTGAAACCGAAATTTGGTTCCAAAATGTGAAATTGTCAGCCTATTTCTGTCTTAATTTTTAATGTGTCTGCTGATACCCTGAACATATATTTTTGCAACAAATCATTCCATTGCCAACATTTTGTTCTTTGTTCTCTCAGAAAGTGGCACTGTTCCTACCACAAGATTAACAGCAATGATGGATACATGTTCAAAGGAGAACTGTAGTACTACAATACCAGCTTTAAAATTAGGTTGGTAGAATGCTCACAAAACATTTTCTGTTTTTCCCTGAGCAAGTATCTGCTGCTTAGTTAGACCAAAATGAGATTATATGCAGAACACATAGTTGCCCCTAAAAGCAGCCACCATGTGTATCCTCCTCTCCTCTGCCCTGTCTCTGCATAATGTCCAGGGGGAAAAAAAGGGTATTACATAATCACAAGGAGAGTTTCTCTGTCAGTGCATCATTTCATTAGCTTGAAGGGATGGGGGAAATTCTCAACACAATGGTGTTATGTCAGGCATTTTATTCTACCACTCATTACTGAAAGTGGAGGTGTTTGTCTGCCAGTTTGGCAGCAACCACATGTTCTCTACATTTGTCTAGTTCTGCCATTAGTCAAAAGCTTAGTGGAGTCCTGTATCATGTACATACATGTGTTCCATCCACAGATGAAGAACCAGATGAGGATGGGATTGAGAGGACATGTGACACTCTACTAATGTGTATTGTGACAGTTCTGAACCAGGGCCTGAGAAATGGTGGTGGAGTGGGTGATGTGCTCCGAAAGCCTTCTAAAGATGTAAGCATTTTGTATGATGTAGCTTCATGCTCATGCATGCTAGATAGATAGACAGACAGATGCCTTTCGATTTTATTTGGAGTGTTTTAAAGGGAGTGCCTTGATCCCATTCCTTGCTTTGGCTGGATAATACCCATATTCACTTAATAGATTTTCATGTCACCAAGCTAATTCATCAGTGTAAACCAAACCAGATGCAACAGAACAACCATGGGTAGTTGTGGGGTGGGGTTTATTTTTTAATGTGGAAATATAATACATATTTCCCGCTGCATCAACATAAAATGAACAGGATGTAATTGCTTGGCATGAATGGATGCTCTGAAAACACAGATGATCCAAAGTAAATGTTTCTCAGCTGGGTGCAAATTGACATCACGTAGAAACATTATTGTCATTTCAGGAACCCCTCTTTGCTGCTCGAGTTGTCTATGATCTCCTGTTTTATTTCATTGTCATCATTATTGTCCTGAACCTAATTTTTGGAGTCATAATCGATACATTTGCAGATCTCCGAAGTGAAAAACAAAAAAAAGAGGAAATCTTGAAGACAACCTGTTTCATTTGTGGTATGTGTTAGCGAGCTATTAAATTGGGTGAGGGGAAAGCAGTGTTAAAGAGTTTTATTTAAGCTTATTCCTTTCCGATAGTAAACCAAATGGCAGTCAAAATGTCACATCGATGTTCACTTGCTCTAGAACCTAAGTTAGTCTTGTGTTGTCATTGCTACTAATAACTTATGTTCGGGTGCTTTCAGTTATTACCTGATTAATCCAGTATGAAGGGTCTGTGGTCTGGTTCTCCAAACAACATGTATGTAACTGAATTATTTCAGACCTGTTTACGTACAAGCTGTGCACGCCAACCCCACCTACCCACCCCCACCAACCCCAACCCCTTTGGCAAGCCCTGCTTTACACCTCATCAACCCCTTGCCCAAACCATCACAGTTTGCCCAGTCCAGATAAGATAGAGGCGTTACATGTTCTCAGGTCCAAAAGGTAAGGAGATGACCTGTTCCAGACAAGGTTGCACTTCCTTTGAAGGAGCAGATTATTAACAGTGATACTTTTGGAACCAGCACTATCACTGGAGGTCCAGAGGGGTTTGGTGACTAAGATTGGCTGTTTCCAGCTACAGCTGGCTCACTAGTTATGGACCCTTTTAAGACAGAGATGATGGCCACTGTTCTCCGTGGTCTTGCAACCTTCAAATTGCAATGCCAATGAAGATGCTTTGGAAACTTCAGCGGAACCAGAATGCAGTGGAAAGGTTACTGGCTGGGGTGATCTCTAGAACCCAAATAACTCCTATTCTAAATCAACTGCACTGGGTGCCAGTTTATTTCTGAGCCCAATTCAGGTTGCTCACATTGGTATTTGAAGCCCCACATGATGTGGGCCACAAATATCTGAAAGACTTCCTCCTTTCCCAGAGACTACCCTGGGTGTTAAGGTTGGGAATTCAAGGAGTGGCAAAGAGCTCAGCAGAGGACTTTCTCTGTGGTAGCTCCTACAGAGGTGTGTCTAGAATCATCATTATTCAGCTTTTGCCATATGCTGCAGATGCACCTTTTTACCCTTACCCTTGACAGTTAAAAAATATTTTTGTAGGCTTCTTGAAAAGTGTAAATTTACCTGATGAGTTGGTTGGTTTGTTGTGTGGTTTTTTTAAAAAAAGTATTCTGGTGGTGTTTTAACTTTACCTTGGCAGGTAATAAATCTTAGAAATAAGTAGGGTCATTGGCAAGCTAGTCTGCATGGAACACTTGAACACACAAGACAGGTATATGGAAGTCTCAGTTATGCTTATATTAGAATTTTTAGGTTGAAATACTGTGGAAGCCAGGGATGCAGATGGTGCTGTGGGTTAAACCGCAGAGCCTAGGACTTGCCGATCAGAAGGTCGGCAGTTGCTCCTGTTGCTCGGTTCCTGCTCCTGCCAACCTAGCAGTTTGAAAGCACGTCAGAAGTGCAAGTAGATAAATAGGTACCGCTCTGGCGGGAAGGTAAACGGCGTTTCCATGCCCTGCTCTGTTTCGCCAGAAAGTGGCTTAGTCATGCTGGCCACATAACCCGGAAGCTGTACGCTGGCTCCCTCGGCCAATAAAGCGAGATGAGCGCCGCAACCCCAGAGTTGGTCACAACTGGACCTAATGGTCAGGGGTCCCTTTACCTTTTTACTGTGGAAGCCAAAAAGTGGAGTGCTTGAGTCTTCCTAGAGATGGGCAAACTTTCCCCATCTTGTTTCTGAATTGGCTTGTTCTTTCCAGCATTTTCAGAGAATTCTTATTAAGAGTTATCTGAAGTCTTTGAAAGTTCTGGCTCATTTAAAATACTTAGCAGCCCTCTATTGGTGAAGGCCCAGCACACAGCTCCCACTTTCACAAAATCATTGTTGCTGAAAGGTAAGTTTCAGGGGATGAGGACGAAGGGAAAGGGGATATTTGGCAAAGATCCCAACATTTATAATCCTGGCTGAAATTCAAAGGGATTTTCATTCGGATCATAAAACATTTGCTGTTTCCCAGGTCACCAACCTAAGTCCTGAAACTCAACATCATCACTTGTTCGTCATCATCTATTGTTATAGAAGCTATTCCTCTGAGAAATTGGATAGTGAGCATTTGGGCAGCCTGGTAGATTTTATCTTCATTTCCATCCCCTTTATTTTAGATTTCTTTCTTATTGTACATCATCTGGAGCCTTTTCTTTTTTCTTTTTGCAAAGACGGAAAACAAATACTAGAAATAAATATCATATCTGATATATGCCTTAATAAAATTGTTGGTCTTGAAGACTCTGCTTTTACACTGTGTGTGTGTGTGTGTGTGTGTGTGTGTGGTAGTTTTTTTTAAAAAGAACTTGTAATTAAGACAAGTGTTGACAAGATGATGGAACTGATGAAATATTTTTGGTGTGTGTCTCCTTTTTTGCAGGGCTTGAGCGAGACAAATTTGATAATAAGACAGTTTCCTTTGAGGAGCACATAAAGGCAGAACACAACATGTGGCACTATTTATACTTCATAGTTCTGGTCAGAGTGAAAGACCCAACAGAATACACTGGTCCCGAAAGTTATGTGGCTCAAATGATTGTGGTGAGTCACTTTTATATAAGTCTTACTTCAGAGAGGTGGGCCTTTCAGGTGTTGCTTGCCTAGCACCATAATTACATATTTTAGGCACCAAGTGCAAAACGTCCTCTTTACCCAGGCCTTTTAATGTGGGGGGACGGATGGTTATTATTAATTTTTCCTGTGATAGTTTTATTGGATTTCATTATTATGATATGTAAATTATGTTTTATCGTTGTACACTGCCCTTGGATCTTCAGATAAAGGGCGGTATATACATTGAATAAACAACAACAACCACAAGAACTGTGAGAAGCCACCAACTGTATAGTTACAAAGGTATTTAAATGCATTTGCAGTAACCCAAGGCAAAGGCCCAGCACTGGGCATAATGAAAATATGAAGGCAAAATTCACAGTTACCCTCAGGCTCCTGCACTCTCATACTCAGTATGCTTATCCAGTTTGTAAGTCTCCTTTTTTTTTGTCCTGAATCACTGGCTGATGTTTCGTAAAAGAGAAAAATGCCCACTGCCAAGCAACAGTACAAAGAAAGAATAGAGGTCTCCACATCTGCAATGCATAGAACTATTCCAATAGTATGATGTGCAAAAATGACAACAGCATGAAACTGAGTTTGGTAGCCTGTGAAAGCTGTCCAGACATTTTGAAGTCACTCTGTGTGCAAGCCTCATTGTCCCAAGGATGCAGCTATTTGGAGGTAGGAGACTTGGGAACTCCCAAGATACAGCTGCTGTTTTTCTGACACACTTCATGCAGATAAATTGTAGTTGTAAAGGTCAGACCTTTCTTTTTCCTTGCGTTTCAGCCCCCCACCCCCACCCCGAGAGATCTGTAAAAGCCTTGAAGGGTAAGAAACTGTGTTAGACTTGGTGCACATGGAGGCAGTTAGACTCATGTACATCATCTTGATCTTTTATTGCTTGATTTGTCAATTCTTAACTTGACTTAAGGGGCCTTAGCATAGTGATTGAGCCCATACTTTGCATGCAAAAGTTGCCTGGTTACGGTGCCTGGCATCTCCTGTTAAGAGGACTGCAGGTTGCAGGTGATGGGAAAGATCCCTTTGTGCCTGAGGCCCTGGAGAGTCACTACAGATCAGTCAAGAGTATACAATACTGAGCTGCCTGGACAAATTATCTGATCAGGAAGAAGGCAGTGTCCTAGGTTCCTAACCTAGCTGTATCTAAGACCTTCACCAATGGGCAACATCTTCACAAGCATATTTTTCATGGATCCCTTTAAAACATGCAAGTGGTGAACAGAAAAGATTAAACACCAGCACTGGATTAAGACAAAAATTAATATTGGGGGCAAATCTAGCATAATTTTGAATCTTGTATCATTCCCTGGAGAATATTTGGCTAAATGGCTTCCCCTGCCATTTTATCACCTGCAGATTTTGGTCACAAATGTGAATCAATTTTAATATTGTTTAGTAGCACTTTCACATTATTGAAGGAAGCATTGGGCTTTTATTCTTCCTCACTTCACCCACCCTTTCTTTCATTATTTCAATGTGAACTAACAGTAGTAATTCATTAAGTGTATCTCTAGTGCCCGCAGTTGGAAATTACTGGTGCAATGCACTAATGCACGGGGAGGCAAACTAAAGCCCATTGGCCAAATCTGGCCCAATCGCCTTCTAAATCTGGCCTGTGGACGGTCCGGGAATCAGCGTGTTTTTACATGAGTAGAATGTGTCCTTTTATTTAAAATGAATCTCTGGGTTATTTGTGCGGCATGGGAATTCATCCCCCCCCCCAAAAAAAGATATACTCCCCCCCCAAGGTCTGAGGGATAGTGGACTGGCCCCCTGCTGAAAAAGTTTTCTGACCCCTGCACTAATGTACTTTTCATTAGTGCTAATGGTGGGATCTCTGGAGTTGAGCCCCTAAAATATAAACAAAGTCACAAAGGCCTCTATGTACTCCATGCTTTGAGTATAAAAAACCAATTTTGGAAGTTGAATGACTTAAAATGTTGGCAGTAGATTGCTGGGTTTTATTTGATACTCTCCCTGGAATGAGCCATGTTGTGGAATATATTGTTTGAGTGGGAATGCTGTACTAAACTAAGTCCAGTTTAAAGAGAAGCACATGGTATTAGCTTTTTAAAAGTGGTGGATGGATTCTTCAGCCCAGCTTCATGGTCTGCATCAGAAATAATTTGAGGATACCAGATTCTGCTGCTCTGTGCACATAGGACATTCCCTCCACTGAGTCTCCCAGGCCACTGGTTCCTTCCTTTTCCCTTGCCTGGATCCTGCAGCATTGAGGTGCCATGTGTCCTGGCCTCCTTCACCTTGCCACGAATGGGCAGCTGTAAGAAAAGTGTCGACATCATCACAATGGTGCAGAGAGCTCAGCAGCTGGGATGGGGATCTGCTCTGAAATGTGTAAGCTGCTTGCCAGGGTGGGGGAACTCTGGCAACTTGGTAGTCAGAAAAGCAGGTGAGGCTGTGGGAGCAGGGATGCCAGGGACCAGCCTAGCCGGTGGCAGCTGCAGCACCACTTGCGCCAACTGCAGGCTAGAGAGTGGCTGGGCTGGCAGCATTAGTGGCTGCATTGGCATAGCCCCATTCCTACGCACATTTACTTGGCGATAATTGCCACCGTCTCCCGAAGAAGTAAGTTGAGATGAAGGGACTTGAGGCAGGAATGCGGAGGGACCGTCCACCACATCAGCAAGACCACAAAAGATACAAAAAAATGGGGTGGAGGGAGTTCGCACTAACATTGCCAGAGCTTTCTTTTCCCCCTCCTCATTCTTTGCTCCTCCAAAATGCAGATGAGGATAGACCCAGTCCTAGCAGTGAAAAGGAAAGTGTCTTCTGTTTGTGCCCTTGACAGCTTGCTCATTTTCCATTAATAGCACCACAAATCAGAAGCGATGGGCAGGTTTATTTGGCCATGCTCCCCGCTCCCTCTCATAAAGTGCTTAGTCACCTCCATGGTGCCAAAGCATGTGTGTGCATCAATGTGAAGTCACGTCATGACATCATGTGATGTGGCGCACACGTGCTGGGCACCCATAATCTGGGGCCCAAGTTGGCGCTACTGTCTCTGTCAATGCCACCGTTGTTAGTCCTATTTTATTTATTATTATTTTTTAATCCATTTTTAAAAATTAATTTTACACATTTCATATCAAAGACTACAAATAAAATAAAGACTAAAATGATGGTTAAAAATCTGGAGAGGAATGCGATAGAGCAATTAGAACAGAAGTGTGGAATTAAAGTAGCAAAAAAAGTAAAATACCTAGGGATCTGGTTAACAATGAAAAATATTAATTTAATTAGTGACAATTATACCTCAATATGGAAAGAAATTGAAAGAGACCTGGATATATGGAATAGATTAAAGCTGTCCTGGACCGGGAGAATGGCAGAGATTAAAATGAATATTCTTCCAAAGATGTTATATCTCTTTCAAACGATCCCTGTGATTAAGGAGTCATCTCAGTTTAAGGATTGGCAAAAAACCCTATCAAGATTTATTTGGCAAGAAGAGACCAAGGATCAAATTTCAATTATTAACAGACCAGAAGGAAAAAGGAGGGTTTTCAGTACCAAATTTGAAACTATATTATGAAGCATCCTGTTTATGTTGGATTAAGGAATGGATCATCTTGGAAAACACGGACTTGTTGGATTTGGAAGGGTACAATAATAGATATGGATGGCATTCTTATTTGTGGCATAACAAGGTGAAAGTCCATAAAGGTTTCATGAATCATATTTTTAGAGGTGCCCTGTATGAATTTTGGGGAAAAAATAAAAATTTACTAGAAAGAAACACACCCTGGTGGCTATCACCGATAGATATATTAACAACAAAAAAACTGAATATGGAAGGAAAGAGAATAACATATGAAGATATATTAGTAAAAATGGAGAGTGGATGGAAAACCAAAACATACGAAGAATTAAAAGATGGGTTAACAGGGTGGTTACAATACTATCGGGTAAATGGATTATGGAATGAGAATAAAAAAATAGGATTTAGTGAGAAAAAATCTAAATTCCAAATAGAAATTTTGGAAGGAAGAACAAAACTTTTATCCAAGATGTACAATTTCCTGTTGGAATGGGATACCAAGGGCGAGTTAATAAAAGAAGTGATGGTAAAGTGGGCAATTGATTTTTTTTTGTTTTGTTTTTTAAAAAAAAGATATTTATTGTCATTTTCACAAATTTTATAAAACATAAAAATCAAAAACACAAAAAAGAAAAACAAAAATACATACAAAAAAGCAAAAAACCACATGTATAACTTCATTCCCTTATGTTCATGAAACTTACTTTCCCGACCTCCCCATACCTCTCCTTACTGCATTCCATTCTCTAATTAATTCTCTTCAACAAATCCTTCCCATAATTTCTATTAAATTTTTAAGCTTTCTTTTCATATTTACATAGTAATTACAGCTAGTAACCCCTTAATTTCAGAATCAACATCGTCTTAACATTCAACAATTTTACAGTATTTCTTAAGATAGTCTTTAAATTTCTTCCAATCTTCTTCCGCCGTCTCTTTCCCCTGGTCTCGGATTCTGCCAGTCATCTCTGCCAGTCCCATATGGGCAATTGATTTTGGTTACAACATAGAATACGATAAATGGGTAGATTTATGGATGAAATTTACAGCATGTTCCACTTTAAGGGAAAACCTGGAAAAAATGATGTACCGGTGGTATGTTACCCCGGTCAAATTGGCGAAAATGTACAAAATGGGTAACAAAGCCTGTTGGAAATGTAAACGTAAGGATGGGGATCTCTACCATATGTGGTGGGTATGTGACAAAATGAAATTTTTTTGGGATCTAATATATAATGAACTTAAGAAACTTTTTAGGTACACTTTCCTGAAAAAAACCAGAGACATTCTTATTAGGGATAATAGGGGACGAAATAAAAAAGGAGGATCATACATTATTCCAATACGCTGTGGTGGCAGCTAGGGTTCTTGTAGCCCCAAAATGGAAGTCACCGGAGATCCCAACAGTTATGGAATGGCAGGCTAATTTTTTTGAATATACGGAATTAGCGAAAATGACATATAAAATCCGACACCAAAAAGGGGCAAAGTTCGTAGAAGAATGGGGTAAATTTGTAACATATATAGGAATCAACTGTAGAAGTTTAAGAACTACAGCAGGGTTAACATAACTCTTGTGACGTGTATAGAAATGTAGAAGAAACTGTAAGAGAATATGTATATTAAGAAAACCGCAACTGGGAAGGAAGGAAGTCAAGGCGTGACTCTACGCAATGTAAATAAGATGACACTAAGAATGATTGTAAAGATTGTTTTATTTTGTTTTTTGGAAAAGGTCAATAAATTTAATAATAATAAAAAAGGAAGCCAGTGCTGCACTGGAAGTGTACTTCCAGAAGCGCGGCCTGGCTTCCTGAAGCATGAAGGTCCGCAGCCTCGGTAGGCTTCCAGGCCTCGGTGGAGACCTTGCAGAGGCAGCGGAGGAGGAAGTGGGGCCACTTCTGTCAATCAGTCATGTCCTAGAGAAATCAGGACTATTGGCAGGTGTGATATTATAAATGAACAATCCTATTTCCATAATAACTTTTCTTGTCTAGGGTGTTTGGCAAAGTGGTTTAATTGACTTTAAGAAAATATTGCAGGACCTGCTAACATGTTGGTTTGGGATCATTTTTGTTTTAACATCTCATAATTTTAGTTATGTTAATTGCCAGTTGTTGTGATGATTACTTATTCTATGCCAAACTAATTTAAATGCAGACATGTGCCTGAAAAGCTTTGGTTGGATGTGAAATTGTCAGCATGTCAGATGGAGAGCTGGTGCCTTGCCTTGCCTTGCCTTGTCATATTGGAGGATATGGGAGTACAGTTTCACTTAAAATCTTTTGAAATACATAAAGCATAGATGCAAGCATGAAAAATGAGGATACGAAACACCAGAAATGAAGCATTCATTAAGATTTTGGCGTGGGAAACAATCTGAAGTGATGCAACATGTGCTGAGTTTGCATCCATAAAGTGTGGCACACTTTTAAATGCTTTATAACTACTGCAGTTTCCACCTAAGATAGGCTGTAATCTTGATAAGCCTATCATCCTGGCCTACTTTGCACATTAAGCCAGTGTTTTTGAAATATTTTGAGCTCAGACAATTTTATGATTCTGTGATTCACTCTCATTTCTGCCCTCTCCAAAACCATTTTTGCTGTGGTTGGCATCTGCCTGTCTCGAAACACAATGGAGTGACGTCTCCAGGGGTGACGTCAAAATGCTGCATTAGCAGCACTGAAGTGACCTCCCCGGGGTATAAGCTTGGGCAATGTGTATGGAGTTCCTGGGCTGCCCCAATGACAACGCCCCCTCTCAGCCTCGCTGGTGCAGTCCAAAGGAAAGTAGAGCAATCCGTTTGGCACCAACTTGGATGCAGCAGTTGCCAGAATGAGGCATACAAGGCGCCATTAGGCCTTAGGGACTTCTCCTGAAGGCAGCAGAAGTTTAGCATCAGAGTTTTCCTTCTTCTAGGTGGACTACCTTCCCAGGTTGACAACCCCCTTCTGCCCCTCACTTCCCATCTGCTTTCCACCTACAGGGAAATGCAATTAAAACAAAGTAGCAGCACTTCCCAAATCAGATTGAGATAACTGTGGGGCAACCAATAAAGTATTGTTATAGATTGGGGGGGGCCCTCCCTAAACCCTAGAAATTAATAAATTGTAGAATTTTGATTATTTGGAGTATTGAAGTGAAGATTGCAGGACAGTGGAAAAATACAGGCTAAGCTTCCTTTCCAAGCCAGGGCCACACTTGGGATATGGGCATTAACATGACAAAAGGTGCTGATGGTCCATCTGAGAGGAATTCTTGGGCCTGGGCAGATAGAGGTTGCCATGGTGATGGGGTGTGTGTTTGAGGTGTCAGGTAAAGAGAGTCTTTAGAGCAAGGGGTGCTGGGAAGAAGGGAGAGAATAGGCTGAGATCCATCTTGGGCCAATCCACACTCGGAAAACTAGTTCATTATGCTGCCAAGTGTAAATTGGACAGGGAGCTTAAGCCAATGACAAGTGTGTCTGTATGATGCAAACATTTCACATTTTTCATTCTCGCAAGCATATGGCAGCTGCCTACCCACCAGCAGCTGCCATGTGGCTGGGAGAATATCTCAATGAGCCAACAACATGGGCAGGCACCAGTCATGTGAGTCATCTCACAGGAACTGCCTACAGATAAGCAGCTACCAGTTGACTAGGAGAACAGATAAATTCCTAATCCTGGGTTCTCTACAGTCAGGGTCACTGAGTTGGACAAATCCTTGAGAAATCATTCAGACTATCACCCCACTCCACCCCATCTCATTTTATATTTAAGTCACAACTAACATTTTTCTACTTGTGTGTGTGCAGGAAAAGAATTTAGATTGGTTCCCTCGGATGAGAGCCATGTCCTTGGTCAGCAACGAAGGTGACAGTGAACAGAATGAAATCAGAAACCTGCATGAGAGATTGGAGTCCACCATGAGCCTGGTCAAGCAGCTTTCCAGTCAGCTAGCTGAGCTTAAAGAACAGGTTGGTTGGTTGGTTCTTTGTTTATTTATATTTTACATAGCAGAGTTTGAGTAGACAGCTTCATGCATGTAAAAAGAATTAACCTCTCAGCTCTCACAGTGGGGTTCTTCCAGTAAAAATCGCCTTTTGTCAGAAGTCTTAATCCAGCTTCACAGAAATTAAATGCAATAGGTAGTAAAGAGGAAATTTCCATAGAGCTAACATTCTGGTTGATTAATCTCATTAATCAATCAGTGAGTTGTCTTTTATGCATTGTTGAAGCCAAGGCGCTGTGGACCTGATTGGTGCCTAAATGGGAGACATGGAGAGCTTTCTGAAGAAAGAGTGGGATGTAAAGAGGTATCAAATGATTGAGTAGTCAATTACATAAAATATATTTCACTGTTAACGAAGACATCATTATAAATCCCACTTTTACATAGCTGTCAATGTAGGGGTTTTTAAAAAAAGAAAAAGCTAACATTTATTGTTAGAAGGGGAAAGTACATTTTTCTGTGTATCACAGTTACACACCAGAATCAAGGTTAGTCTCAAGCATGCCCTCACCTCTCAGCCACACCAATTACAACTTACATTTATCTATTATAATTGGCTCCCATCAAGTAACACAAAGGTGGCTAACCCCCTTGCCTGGGGCAAGCAAGCAAATTTTTATAGACCCCCAGCATACCCACCCACCTGATTTTGGTAGCAGTGGCAAAAAGCAAACAGAGAGCCAGTGTGGTGTAGTGGTTATGAGTGGTAGTCACGTAATCTGGGGAACCGGGTTCGCGTCTCCGCTCCTCCACATGCAGCTGCTGGGTGACCTTGGGCTAGTCACACTTCTCTGAAGTCTCTCAGCCCCACTCACCTCACAGGGTGTTTGTTGTGGGGGAGGAAGGGAAAGGAGATTGTTAGCCGCTTTGAGACTCCTGAAGGGGAGTGAAAGGCAGGATATCAAATCCAAACTCTTCTTCTTCTTCTAAATAAAAACTGTATTTGAAACTCTCCATCCAGTCCAGCAGCATGATGGGAATGCAAATTGCCGTTATGGGGTACACAAAATATTTGGACCATTCCCAAATCAAGACCCCCAAGCAAGGCTGTTCAGGGCACTTTGGCAATTCAGGTGTTTTAAAAAATGCAGCAGACAGCATGTTTGCAAAAATGTAAAAAATCTTCTCAGTTTGCCATATGAGGAAGATGCCAGGCTGAGATGAGGGGAAGGAAGAGCTTTTCTGTAACCAACAGGTTTTGCTTCTAACTAGAGGGAATAACTTATACAGTATAGGCTTTTCAATCATAGTGCTTTGAGGAAGGGAAGTTAAAGTAATAAAACTCATTGCTAGTTCTGCTTGTTTGGAAAATTGTGGATCCGGGCAGTGACCATTTTATGTGTGATCACATGCATGCTTGTCACTGCCAACCCAGAAAATGGGGCAGAACAGGACAGAGGTGGAACGGGGCAGACTTATGTGTGCTCCACCAATGTGTTGGGTCAGGAGCAGAACCCTCACACAAAATGGTCATTGCCTGCATTGAGGTCCTTCTGCTTCTGTCCCACCTATCCACACTTCAAATCAGTTTTGCACTTAGTTTCTGTTACTTTTGGTACAAATTGACCATAATGCTAGCATGAAGCTCCGCCCCCCGCCCCCCCATGCATCAACTCAGCTCTCTAGTCCTTGAGTACATCCTTCTGACCCTTTGCTGGCTACTGTCCTGGGAGAATTTCTACATCGAATGTAGTCTTTTATATGAAATCATTTCCCACAAAACCACAGGGAGTGAAGCAAATCCCTTTGAGTTCTCTCTCCAGAAAAAGGGCAAACTGCAGGTTGCTGCTCTTGCAGAAAACTTGCTGTCTTCTGAAATATGGCAGGATTCTTCTGCTTAGAAACAGCTACTGTGCCTGCACATTTAATTAAACTCTGCTAGAAAGAAAAAAGTTAATAGCCGTGATTTTACTGTATTTCCATATAAAGTTGAACTGGGGGAGGGGGGGTGATTCTGAGCAACTCTTGCTCTTTTCCAAAGAGTTGAATCAGGCTCTGAACTCAATCCTAAGCTTGGTGAATACCCCTTGTAATAAGCCCTTCTCTTTAGCTTATAGCAGTACAGCCCTACAGTATATATATTTAGTTGTAAGTTTTTTTCATTCTGTTGAATAGGACTTATTCCAAGCTAAGTGTGTGTAGGATTGCAGTTAAATCTGTTAAATTTTGCATTTCATATATATATTTTTATGATAGCAACAGTTGAGACAGGTGAACAAGACATTTAGATTTGAGAAGGGAAAGTAAAATCCATCTTCCCTGGGTAATGCGAACACTGTGTACGGGTGCACATTTCTGATCTTTGTGCCAATAAATTGCTGTGAGGAAGGGGAAATTGCCCTAAATTAATGTGCTAATAGGGATGCGGGTGGCGCTGTGGGTAACACCTCAGTGCCTAGGACTTGCCGATCGTATGGTCGGCGGTTCGAATCCCCGCGGCGGGGTGAGCTCCCGTCGTTCGGTCCCAGCTCCTGCCCACCTAGCAGTTCGAAAGCACTCTTAAGTGCAAGTAGATAAATAGGGACCGCTTTATAGCAGGAAGGTAAACGGCGTTTCCGTGTGCTGCGCTGGTGCTGGCTCGCCAGCTGCAGCTTCGTCACGCTGGCCACGTGACCCGGAAGTGTCTTTGGACGGCGCCGGCTCACGGCCTCTAGAGTGAGATGAGCACGCAACCCCAGAGTCGGACACGACTGGCCCGTATGGGCAGGGGTACTGTTACGGCTAAAATCTGGGTGCGGGGCTACACTGCCACCCAGCTCGTCGGACTAAGTGTCCGCGGGTCCCTGCGGAAGAAAATGAGCTCAGCCGGACAGGAGCAAAATGCGGAGATCCAAGTTTATTGCGCAACAGGTTCAAGACGAGATTGAACAGCGAGAAAGGGGTGGCATGAACTTTTGAAACTCCCTCCATGTCCCAGAATACAGTGCAAAATACATCCCAGTTACATCATGAATACATTAAGGAAAGGTTGGGTTACACAGATTACATCATGAATACATTAAGGAGAGGTTGGGTTACACCGGATTAACATATGGAGGAGGGAGGGGGGAATATGCAGAGCTGGAGATATGCGCAGATAAGCGCTTCCTGAGTGCCGGTGATGGGAAGACAATGGTCCATGTATGCATAGTCTGCCACCTGGCATTGCCCGGAGGAAAGGATTGGCAGAGTGATTTGACAGTATATTGTAGCGAAGAAGGTGAAGAAGACATGCCCCCCCTTCCGTAACAGTACCTTTACCTTTTAATGTGCTAATACTTGCCTTCCAGAATTTACATATTTAAAAAAAAAATACTCACTTGCAAGGAACCCCCTTTTTTCTTTAGTTTTTTTGGTTTCAAAATAATCTCCTTGATGGTTTTTTTTTCCATCTTTTTTATCTTGCAAAATGAAATGAAATAAATGTCACAGTGTAATGTTTGTAATTGCATGTCTTTGCTAAAGAGCAGTCAGGAGCTTATATTGTCTTTGTCTCCCTCTCCACCTTTAGATGACAGAACAAAGGAAAAACAAGCAGAGGCTGGGCTTTCTTGGATCAAACGCAGCATCCCACGTGAACCATCACATGCCACCACACTGATACCATGGGGGGGGGGCATGACTAGCGTTTCATCAGTATTCTCGCTTGATTACAGAATGAAAAATCAGGAGTGGTGAACAGCGCCTATTGTTACAAAGTTACAAACAACAGTGTGCCAGGATGTTAAGTGGTTTAGCTCTGGGAACAATTAGTAACTGTTTTTTCTTCACTTTGTGGTAAGGGGAGCTCTTCTACATCTTTCCTCAGGCAAAACAATTTAAAACTGGCGAGGGTGGGGTCGCAGTGGGGAGAGATAGTACAACCTTAATTTACTCTCTTGTAATTCAGTTGGCTGCCAGGCATGCATAGGCATGGCAGAATTTGGTTCTGTTGTTTTGAATGCCACCATATGAATCCTTGTAAAACTAATGGAGCAACCAAGAAACAGAGGAAATAATTTATTAACACATAATCCAACAGCCTCATTCGGAATCTGTAGAAGTTCTTTGTTGTCACCTTTGCTGGCCAGTATAATTTGTTATGTTTGTTTGGAATTTTTGCTCTCTCTCTCTCTTCAATCTAATTACCGTAAATATGTCATTGGAGGAGGCAATAATGTTATGGCAAGTTAATTTGCATTGAAAGATGAACAAAATCACCCTCAAAGAAGCATTGTTTTTCTCTTTAAAAAAAAGAGGGTTGCAGAGACAAGTATTAAGGCTAATAGAAATTTTGCTGTCAGCTGTGCAATTCCTTATTTATAAAATAGAGCACAAATGAACCTGCAGCTGGGAGAACTTGAAATTTATGCACATAACCACTGACAACATTAACTGGAAGTGATTTCTTTACTCTTGAATTTAGATGTTCCCTATTAATGTGGCTGCAAGTAGAGAATTCAACTAACGGTGGTCTTTAACTGTGTTTTAAAATTCATGTTCCAAGGAGAGAGTTGAGGAGAAAATGTGATATTTTAGAACTAGTGTTAGAGATTAATTTCAGGGGGTAAACAGCTTTGAGATGAACTGTCTAGAAAAAATGTAATGATATTGTTACTGTCCATAAACCACAGGAAAAACTGCTAATTATTTTTTTTTTTTGGCTTCAGCTCCTCCTTTCTCTTTTTCCTGTACAACATGTTTCTCAGATAGGGTTCCCCTACTGTATGAATGGACATCCTCCCACCATCCCTAACCATTGGTCATGTTGGCTAGGGCTGATGGGACTGATGGGAGTTGGAGACAAACAGATTCCCCACTGACACAGGAATATTTCATCAATATGCATCTTCTGATCTAGATTGTGGCCATCATTGGTTCTGCTTGGAATTCATGTGACTTTGCTGTGGTGAAGGGAGATCAGCTCTAGTTTCCAATTCAGAATCAGGTTTGTACTATAGGCAGGGCCTTCTGTTCTTTCCTTTGACAATCCAAGAGACTTCAAAAGTGCAGAACTCACAAATGAGAGTGAAAGGCATGCAGTCTGCACTATTTCTAAGTAAATCTTGCTCTTCTCTAGGACTTGTCTCCAGCTGAGTGTTTTAGTACAAATGCTGCTAAAGAATTGTAAAAAGGCATTGAGCAAAGCAAAACAGAGGGACGCAGGTGGCGCTGTGGGTTAAACCACAGAGCCTAGGGCTTGCCGATCAGAAGGTTGGTGGTTCGAATCCCCGTGACTGGGTGAGCTCCTGTTTCTCAGTCCCTGCTCCTGCCAACCTAGCAGTTCGAAAGCACCCCAGTGTAAGTAGATAAATAGGTACCGCTCCGGTGGGAAGGTAAACGGCGTTTCCGGGCGCTGCTCTGGTTCGCCAGAAAGTGGCTTAGTCATGCTGGCCACATGACCTGGAAACTGTCTGCGAACAAACTTTGGCTCTCTCGGCCAGTAAAGCAAGATGAGCGCCGCAACCCCAGCATTGTCTGTGCCTGGACCTAACGGTCAGGGGTCCCTTTACCTTTACCTGTAAAGCAAAACAGGTAGCCCTGATTGCATATTATAAGAGCTAAGAAGGAAACAATTAGCAGTACTGGAAAGTTTGAAGAGAGAATTATCATGTTTGCTATTCCTTCTTGGAATAAAGCAATCCAAATTTGGAAGCCATAAATGCAATTCTAATGCCATTAAATCAGTGAGATTACAAATAAAATTACACCATACAGTGCAATTCTACATAATACTTACTTTGCAAGTTCCATTGGCTTGTAACAGAGAATTTATAAGAATTGGTGCTCAGCCTTTTGTTAGTTTTCAAGAAGCATATGTGGTCAATATTTAGTGGCTTGCATCCCACACCTTTTACATGTTAGGGTGAGTTGTGTAGACTACAAGGTCAGATCTTAACATTATAGTATGTTGGGTTTATTGATAGAATGAATCTCTCTCTCTTTGGGCCACCTATATGGGTTCAAAGTGGAAAACTGATTCTTGGATGCCTTACCAAATTGCAAGCCTTTCTGTCACCTTAACAAGCTCAGACTTAGTCCTCCTCTTTAGTCTGAATCGTGCAAAAAGATCAAAACAGCTCAGCGGGAGATCAATAATAGATTGCAACTGCCCATATTCAGATTGTGCCTGGATTGAGGCCTTGCTTTGTCCTTCCCTCCCCTTTGCATCTCACTCTGAGGATATGGAGGTTTCACTGACAAAGTGCCTGCATAAACTGAAAGCCAAACTGCAGAATCTGTTCCAGTCCTAGTAGGAACTGATCAAAAAAGTTTTAATGTAAAGAAGAAAAGAACTGCAGTCTGGTAAGGGTAGTGTATGGTAGGCTGTCACTCAGAGGTTTTGCTTGTATAAGGACCCAGGCTCATTCCCTGGCATCTTAAGTTTAAAGAATATCGGACAACAGGACTGGGAGAGATTCTTGTCTGAGACTTTGGAGTGCCATTGCCAGTCAGAGTAAATAGTCCTTAGCTAAAAGAATTAAGAACCTATTCCATCCTATAGAGCAGTGTTTCTCAAATTTGAGCCTCCAGCTGTTGTTGGACTACAACTCCCATCACCGCAATCAGTGATCAGGGATGTTGGGAGTTGTAGTCTAACCACAGCTGAAGGTCCAGGTTTGAGAAACATTGCTACAAAGTATAAGTGCTTGCTTGTTCCAGCGCATATTGTTTGAGCTGGTTACATCTCCTTTCTGCCCCACCTACACCCAGTGGCATGCGGACCGTCCCGGGTGTCATCACTGAGGGGGGTGACAAAATGGCAAAAATATGTGTTTTTGAAAAAATAACTCCCGTACCCACTGCACCCAGGGTGCCACTGCAGAGCACTCTCCCCTCAAGTGATTTCCAGAAACCAGAAGCATTGCTGCCTCCAACTTTGCAAGCAGAGCGCAGCCTTTATGGCTTCGACATCCCTCCTCCATGAATCTGCCTAATCCAGAGGCATAGCTGGGTGAGGTGGGGGGGGGGCCTGCAGCGTGCCTGAGCCACGCGTCTCTCCTGTGAGGGGGAGGTGAGGGGCCTGCAAACTCCGCCCTGATTTTTCGAGCAGCCTGGGGCTTGGGTCTGCTCACCGCCTCAGCCGCCCTACAGCTGAGGGGGAGGCTGCGGAGAGGCTCCATGCAGCGTGCCCTGCCTTGGCTTGCCATGGCTGCAAAGCAAGTGCGCCGCCCTGCTTACATCGCTGCTGCCTACACCACAGAAATGCACACTGTGCAGCAGTGGTGGCTGGTGGCCCATTGGCTCTGGAATGGTGGAAAGCAGGGAGCTCAACTAATTCTAGCTTTGTCCCCATCCTCTGTGCTGAGTTCTACAAAGACAATGCTGAGACTAAGGAGAAGGAACCTGATGGGTAGTTGCATTGTAAGGAAAAAGACAAACTGAGGGCAAACTAAGGTTGGTAGGGTGGTGCTCTGTTTATTGTAAAGGACCAGGCCCCACTGCCATGGAGCTAAGGCAATTTGTGCTTCCTTCCACGTGTTCTCACAGATGTTGCCATTCACAGGTTGCAGGCACAGGTTGCACTGGATTTTTACCATGTGCCGGCTTCTCCCATAAGGTGTGCAAAGGCTCTCTCAAGTGGAAGGCAGCTTCAAACAAAGCAGGATACCACCCAAATGAGAAGCAAAGGGAGAAATCTGAAATGTAAGTGATAAGAGTGGAGAGCAGGGTCCTTAGGCAAATCCTCCTGCCCTGGATCTCTCCTAATTTCAATTTTATCCAGCATTGAGAAAGTTGAACTGGAGTGCATGAAAAAGAAAAAGTGCAACTGTACTGAATTTAGCCATGTTTAAGATTATTGCTTTCAGTTCATCAACAATTTATTGAAATTTCATCAACAATTTATTAAAATTTAGGAGCAGGATCCTCCCACATTTAAGGTTTTAGGTAGTTCTACACCAAATAATTCAGCCCAGATTTGGATTAAGTTTTTTTCAAAATAATTTTTTTAATTAGTTTTCAATTACAGTCCAATAATAGCCTCATTATAACAATACCAATTTATGATAATACCATTGATACCAATCACTCAAATACCAAATTATATAATTTAGATAAAGTGGCCCCCGCATGCTAGATTTGATGATTTTCTATATTTCTACATTCCAAAATCGTATTAATTTCAATTACATTCCGGTCAGAATAATAATCCCTCATACAGCAACTTGTTCTTCAGGGGGCACGATCTATAAGAATATTTGAGTGGACATGGACCAAACACATGGTGGCCAAAGATCCCCCCCCATTTTTTTCTATTAATCAGGTTTTTTTTATAAGGTTTTAAAATGTAATCAATGGCATGAAGTTACATTCTGATGGTGGCTTGAGGCATTCCTTTTGTAACTTGGGACACAGTGCTTCATGGGAACAATGGCGTCTCCTGACATAGCAACATTCTCAGGACAATCTGAAGAAGGGGAGAGATGGTTTTCTCAGAGCCATATACTCCAGTAGGATGAGTTAAGCATGTGTTTAAACAATTCTGTTTATCTCATTGGGAACGATTACAAGTACTTATGGTTGGGTCATGTTTTTTGTTGTTTGTGTAGCCTTGTAATTTAAACCTCTAAAATGAAAGTTCAACAAGATTCAAAATTCAAAAAGCTGAACTGAAATTATGTTATGGAATCATAGAATCTTAGAGTTGGAAGTGACCCCAAGGATCATCTAATCAAATTCCCTGCAATGCTGGAATCTCCGCTAAAGCATCCATGACAGATGGCCATCCAACCTCTGTTTAAAAACCTCCAAGGAAGGGGAGTCCACCACCTCTCGTGGGAGTCTGTTCCACTGCTGAACAGCTCTTACTATCAGGAAGTTTTTCCAAATGTGGAGTCTCCCTTCTTGAAGCCATTGGTTTGAGTCCTACCCTCCAGAGCAGAAGAAAACAAGCGTGCTCCCTCCCTTCAGATATTTGAAGATGGCTATCATATCTCCTCTCAGTCCCCTCTTTTCCAGGCTAAATATACCCATAAGGCTGTTTCCGGACCCTTGATCATCTTGGTCGCCCTCATCTGCACATGTTCCTGCTTGTCAACATACATCTTAAATTGTGGTGCCCAGAATTGGACACAGTATTCCAGGTGTGGTCTGACAAAGGCAAAATAGAGTGATACTATGACTTCCCTTGGCGGGACGCGGGTGGCGCTGTGGGTAAAACCTCAGCGCCTAGGACTTGCTGATCGCATGGTCAGCGGTTCGAATCCCCGCGGCGGGGTGAGCTCCCGTCGTTCGGTCCCAGCTCCTGCCCACCTAGCAGTTCGAAAGCACCCTTAAGTGCAAGTAGATAAATAGGTACCGCTTTATAGCGGGAAGGTAAACAGCGTTCCATGTGCTGCTCTGGTGCCGGTTGCCAGAGCAGCTTCGTCACGCTGGCCACATGACCCGGAAGTGTCTGCAGACAGCGCTGGCTCCCGGCCTCTAGAGTGAGATGAGCGCACAACCCTAGAGTCTGGCCTGTACGGGCGGGGCTACCTTTACCTTTACCTTTATGACTTCCCTTGAACTGAACACTATACTTCTGTTGATGCAGCTTTTCTTTGCTGCTGCATCGTACTATTGACTCATCTTAAGCTTGTGGTCAACCATGACCCCTAGATTCTTTTCACATGTACTGCTAGTAAGCCAGGTGTCCCCCATCCTATATTTGTGCAT